ATCAAAAGGATCATGGATTGAGGTCAGCATGGGCAAAAAGTTAAGTGAGACTCCATCTCAACAAACAAGCCAGGTGTGGTGGTGCACATCTCTGGACCCAGCTATGCAGGAAGCTGTAGCTAGGAGGTTATGGTCTGAAGTGAGCACTGGGCAAAAATGTGAGCCCCCACCTGAAAAATAACTAAAGTGGAAAAGGGCTGGTGGAGTGGCTCAAGTTGTAGAGCCTCTGCCTGGCAAGAAAGAGGCCCTGAGTTCAAACCCCGGTACCACACAAAAGAAGTAAATGTACTTGCAAATTGTGATGTTGACAAAATTGTCCTCCAGATGAGTTGTGTGACTTTGTTTCCCCCCTTCTCCCCACCCCGCCATATGCCGAGAGCCACTTCTCCTATGGCCTCCCCTGCACAAGGTGTCATCACACCCTTAGTAGTTTGAATTCCTAGAGCAACCTTCCTTGCCAGGTCTGGATAACAGCCATCACCCATCAGATCAGAATGACAGGCCCCTAGCCCTGGTGTGATAGCAGAACACAGGTATGGGCCAGCCAGCATGTTTCATGGCGGCCGTGTTTTCTTACTCTTGCATTTACTCAGGAGTTCATAGAACCGAGTAACTTCTGCCTCAATTAGTAGCTAAAACCATCTTCTGTAGCTTGAATTTTTTCCTAAGCCATTTTACACTTCATTAAGCCTGAAGTAAAACAGAGTTTGAAGTACATAGTTGGAGTGTCACCTCAAGGCCCAGATCTAACTCCCACTGTGGCCAGCTTTCAGGTGGCCACGCTGCTGGCTCCAGGGCAGAGGAGGGGCGTCCTTCCTGGCTCCTGGAAGCTTTATCTTTGTGCCAACTGTCCAGCTGTGGAAATGCTGGCACCGCTTTGTACATTAATGTCACTTCAGGGCCATGGATGGGAAAGACACACTCCCTAGCTACACAAGGACTAAGTCTTAGCTAGAAGCAAATTGTCCTTGTCCTCTGCAATGAGGTTATCTCTCAAAGAACATTAGGCCATTTCCCAAGAGAGCCTGTGCTGCTGGCAGCCAACGGTTCCCAGTGAACAAGATTACATCTCATCCGGCCAGCCCACAGAGTGGGGCGAAATTTCTTCTGTCTGTCTGTTTCACGTCCACCCTTACATGCACAAAAGCTTGTGTGAGAAACACTCACACCTACCCAGTGTCTCACAGAAACGATGTACAGAGCTGATAACCACACGAAGAAGTGTGAGGTGCTGAAGAACAGTCTAGAAAACCAGTTTTCTAGACACACTGTGAATAGGCCAGAACACAAGCCATTATCACTTCCCTTTCCTGCCTCTGGCTGGAACTAGAAGGGGATATTGAGAAAAATGAATAAGCTAACGAGGACTTTGCTTCTCAGTTTATCAGCTGCATGAATCATGAGGCAGAGCTCTACCGGGTTAATAGGGGTTAAGTGGAAGTATTTATTAGAAAAGTGGTCATTACACATATTCTTCTTTGCAGTCAATGAACAGAAAGAACCTTCTGAAAGGCTGGATTATTCCAACTCCTTGGCATTTGCTGTTCCTTAAAAGAGACATTTCTAAACTTTTGGAAAAAAGTTATTACCACTTTTTCCAGGGACCCCGGTTTGAGGCTTGATTGCAGATGATGTGTCTTTCAAGAAGCCCTTGTAGAGAAACTCGGTTGGTTGGTGGAGACTCGCTGCCAGCAAACAACTGAGGTGTTTACCAAAGATTTCCAAGAAATTGTAGCAAATCATTGGAAATGTTATACCTGTAACAGGCATTTAATATATTAGCAACAGAAAAATAAATGTAATGCGTGCAGGAACAAAGTTGCAATTTGCGTGAAAATGTCCTGTGAATTTTAATTATGTGTTCTAGAGAGTGACAGCCCTGCAAACAGAAAGGAAGTCATGACCTGGCATTTTTGAACAACTTTCAAAGTTTCAGTCTAAAATCACTGTGGAGAGGCCATTAACATGAGGCCCATCTAGAAACCAGGGGCCAGTCAGACCCCAAGATCCTGAGGTTGGCTAAGTGTGGCAACTCACACCCCATCTTAGCTTCCTGACCTTGGATCCACCTTTCAGGTGGGGTGTGTGCCATCAGGAGTCTTCATAGACTAAGTTCACAAATGTACTCTTTTTGTGATGAGAATAATGGTCAGTGACTCACTCAGAGAGTCTTATCATTAAAATTCTTTCCTACGGGGTGCAGTGGCTCACACCTGTAATCCTAGCTACTCAGGAGGCAGAGGAGATCAGGAGGCTCACTGTTGGAGGCCGGCCAAGGCGAAAGTATGTGAGACCCCATCTTAATCAATAAAAGCTGGGTGTTGTGGCAGCACCCATCATCCCACTCTGCAGGAAGCATAAATAGGAGGATTAAGGTCCAGACCAGCTGGGGCATAAACACAAGACCCGATTTGAAAAATACCTACAGCCAAAAGGGCTGGGAGTATGGTTTGAGTGGTAGTGTGCCTGCTTAGCAAGTACAAGGCCCTAGTTCAAACCCCAGCACCACCGAATATTAATGCAGGGGGACATGAGGTGAGGGGCTGGAGTTGCCTCCAGGAGACTCACCTAATTAAGTCTGCCAGTGAGTCTGTTCATTAGGAACGTGGGGCTTCTAAGAACCAGGGAATTGAGGATAAAATACTTAGCATCCTCAAAATCTTATTCCCACCACACATTTCTGCTCTTTTCCTTGGATTTTAGTTTAGAAGAGGAAATCTAGATACTCCTGAAGGAGGCTAGAAGAATCATTTATGTCATAAAATTGAACATCTGTGTCTTGGCAGAATCATTGTGAATTATGGGGCTGCTGCTGAATTTGGGGGCTTTGGTGACTCCTGTCATTTGTGGTATATGGCCTTACTGGAAATCTCTTTCGATGGTTTTGGAGCCTGTAATTCATGGTTGTATGTTCTGTTTTTTTCCCGAGGCCACGGCTGGAATTCTGTATTCACTACATAGCAAGTTATTTTATTTTTAGATGTGGATCACCTCCAAGGGAGGCAATCTGTGGGGAGGTGGGTAATGAACTATTTCTGAAATAAATCACAAGTGTCAAAGAAAGTGGGACTAGCCAAAAAATAAACAAGAGTGACCACCATTCAGTGGCAAAGGTGTCTGCATCTCCCACAGTGTGGTATGTTAGAATGTGTAATATTTTAGTAATTCAGTCTATTAACAATGAAGAAGAATCCAAGAATTACCCATGCATGCTTACTTTTTGACCTGGGCTTGTTTATTTAAACAAAAACCTTTACGCCTAAGGGAAATACTTTGCGCTTGGAGAGTTTCATTAGGAAACCCCAACACGGCTGGTGTGGTGATATGTGCCTGTAATCCCAGCACTCCAGAGGCTGAAGCAGGAGGGTAGCAAGTTTGAGGCCAGCCTGGGCTACATAGTGAGACCTTGCCTCAAGGAAAAAAAGAAAAAGAAAACCCCAGTATATTGGTCTAAGATTGATATTTATAAGTATTTATTGTGTGGCACCTTCTGAGCTCTTGTTGCCTTATCTGACCTTTTGTAAAGACAATGTTTGAAATTTAAAATCCAGCTTAGAGGAGTCTGGTATCCAAAACCTGTCTTTAGAAATCAATGGTCCTTTTATAGTTCGACTCCATTAAAATACTGAAGCATCTCAGGTGAGGGGTACAAACCAGCTGTCTGCCCACATAGACTGTAAATACGAGTGGTAGCATCCTTTATCATTCTTTCAACATCCATTATATACTCTGTGTGAGGAGCATCTGTTAAGTATGGCTCTCAGCTCTGTGTCTCTTTTTGGTGCTGCTGGGGCTCGAACCCAAGGCCTTGATTGCTAGGCAGGCTCTCACTCCAATCTTTCTCTTTTTTTGGGGGGAGGTCCTGGGGTTTGCACTCAGGACCTCACGCTCGCAAGGCAGGAGCTCCACCACTCCAGCCACGCGCCAGCATCCCCCCAGTCTTTGTGATTGACAGGGGACCAGGTGACTGACCGCACAGCTCGCTGTGCAGCCTGCACGTCCCGAGACCCGGAGACGGCTGATGCACCGCGGGAACAAAGATTCAGTGTGGACGGGAGGACGCAGGCGGGCGAGGAGGCCGGGAGGCCGGCGCGGCTGCAGGCGAGGGCGTGGCGGTGGGGTTTACCCGAGGACAGTCCAGGCGGGAGGAACGTGCGGCTCGTGGGAGCCGGGCACCAGGGAGCCCCTTCCGCGGCCCTCAACTCTGAGACGCGCGCTGGGGACGCCGGGGACCTGCTGGTGGCCGCCTGCCGGCGAGGAGCCGCCGGAGTCCGGGCGCGCGCGGGTGGGCGGGAAGGGGGCGTGGCCTCGGATAACGGACCGGCGCCCCGCCCCGCCCACCGCTCCCAGGCCGACGCGGGCCACGCCCCCTCCGCGCGAGGCCGCAAACCGCGCGGGCGGGCGGGTTTTTTTTTTTTTTTTTTTTTTGGTCAAACTTTGGCCACGTGAACCGCCCCCCATTCACTTTTGAGCCAATCGCGTGGCGCGGACGGATCCCGAGAGGGGCCACGGTTCGCCGCCGCCGGGGCCGCTTCTTAACGCGCTGTGCGTGACGTGAGGGGCTCCAGTTGCAATGGCGAGCTAAGCCGGAGGATGTGCAGCGGCAGCGGTGGCGCCGGTCACGAAGAAGACGGGGGTGGGCGTCGCGGGAGCATAGCCGAGCTAGTCGGGGGTCGCCAACGGGGTCAGACAGAGGTCCGGGCTTGGCTGCAGCTGCTGTCGCCGTCGCTCTGGCTCTGCGCCCCCGCGCGTGAGCGTGAGGAGCCGCCGCCGCCGCCTCGCGCCCGAGCCGCCGCCGGCGCGCGCCGGGCATGGTCCCTTCTTAAAGGCGCAGGCCGCGGCGGAGGTGGGGGCGGGCGTGCGGAACAAAGCGCCGGCTCGGGAGCCGCGATGGGCGCGGCGGGCCCGCGGCGGCCGCGGCGCTGCCCGGGCCGGGCCTCGCGGCGCTAGGGCGGGCTGGCCTCCGCGGGCGGGGGCGGCGGGCTGAGGGCGCACGGAGCCGGCGGCGGCAGCGGCCCGGCGGGCGGAGTGGCGCGGGCATGGCCGCGCGTGGCCGGCGTGCCTGGCTCAGTGTGCTGCTCGGGCTCGTGCTGGGCTTCGTGCTGGCCTCACGACTTGTCCTGCCCCGCGCCTCCGAGCTGAAGCGAGTGGGCCCGCGGCGTCGTGCCAGCCTCGAGAGCTGCCGGCCCGGGCAAGCCGCGGTATCCCAGGCCGGCGGGGCGCGTGGCAGTGCGCGTGGCTCGCAGCTCTGGCCGCACGACTCGGCCCCGGATGGCGGCCCGCGCGACAGGAACTTTCTCTTCGTGGGAGTCATGACCGCCCAGAAATACCTGCAGACCCGCGCCGTGGCGGCCTACAGGTGAGCCCTTTTCTCTGGACACCATCTCCTGCATCTAGCATCCCCGCCGTTGTAACCCAGTCGCACCCCCTCCTCCTCCCCAGACTGAGGCTCCCCGGATTGGAGAGCCCCTCTGGCCATCCTGCCCATTGGCATTAGAGGTCGGAGGAAGGATGGGGGCGCAGCGCTGAAGGGCAGGGCGTTGGGGTCAGAGGGACTGGGGTGGCCCCTTTGCGTGTGCCTCTCACCCTGATCTCCTGCAAGGCCCTTCAGTTTTCCATGGCCAAGGCTTCTCCTTTGTTCACTGGGCCTGACTGAGCTAGTCTCTTTCTTAAAATTGTGGGAAAACTCGTAGCAGAGTTAGTAGTGGTGGCAGGGAGGTTATAATTTGGTTGTTTAAAGTGAGCATTTTTGTCCTTGCAAAGGTGGAGCTCCTGCAGATTAATCTGGCTAGAGCCCTTCCTTAGCATTCTTTAGATCTCACAGTTGGAGGAGCTGCTTCAAATGAAAGGGGGTGCAGGCTGCGAGTTTGACCACACTGTTAAGAAGGGAGCAAGAATCCCCAGGAAAAGGCAGTTCCTGTGGTGGTGGATCCTTTGGAGACTACATCCCAGTGTGCCTTGGCTCAGTTACAGTGGTGTATGCGTGTTACACGGTAACTCAGCCCTAGTTGGCTAAATGAGGCATAAAAGGGCGTGCAGTCTTGCTCAGGATTAACAAAGGGATTAGCCAGAGTAGTGTTTAGAAGGGAGATGATGTGGGAATGGCAGGCATGGTTAGGATCGGATTTGATTGGAGTGAATCTGAAGTAGGGTGTAGACTCTGCAAAGGGACTCGGTGGAAACCTTATACATGTGAAGTACAGAGCCTCTTTGCTGTATGCATCAGGTTTGGAGTTCAGCCAGCACCGAGCAAAGCCAGTGTTGGGAATGGTTTCAGAGCATGGGTGTTCCGGGAATGAACTTTTACAACAGTTAGTGCTGAGCGGGGCTGCTCTACTTACTCTTTGTCCCTCAGTGTATAACCAGTACTTTTATAATTTTGGCTTTTAAGTCCAGTTCTGTCTGTGTTTTAAGGCAGCACTTGTTGTAAGGGGACAAGCAGACCTCTCCTTCCTTTAAGAGGACAGGTAAAGGACTGACACAGATGATGAAAGAGCAGTGGAGAATCACTGCCCTCTGAATGGCTCGATCCTCAATCCTGCAAGTGTCTGTTAGGTTCTTGTTTAAGCCTGTCCAAGTTCTGCCAAGAAGGGTTCTGAGAAGCTTAGAATGCTGGTAGTGTAAGTATAGATGAACACAGTGATTCAAGAACCAGCAGATCAAGGTTGTCTTCCAGATGTACCATGACTTACCTGGGATTTTATACTTTGTGTAAAGAAGTATTCCAATCAGAAATGGAGGATGAGAGGGCCAGGTGTGGTGGTTCTCAGCTGTAATCCCAGCACTCAGGAGGCTGAGGCCAACCTGGGCTGCATAACAAAACCCTGTCTTAACCCCTCCCCCTCCCCCCAAAAATTCAGGATGAGCCCATTACACTGTTTTGAAAGTAAATCTTCATGACTGCAATTAGGTGATAGGCCATGTGAAATCACAACTCTGGGGACAGTTACCAAAGTAGCTTGTTCAAATATTGGGACTCCTTTTCCTCTGCCTGCAACAAATACATTTTCATGTTTACAACATTGGTATATTCAGATCAACAGGGGTCCTGTTACACAGCACTCCTCAGGAAATTTGCAGTGCATACCCGTACTATTTCAATCGGGCCATCCTCGAAGGCCTGACTTTTGGCCTCTTTTCCACATCTCTTGCCTTTTTTTGTTAAGATTTTATCTCATTGTTATTTTCTTTTGGGCAATTGGGGAAAGTAGAAATACAGTTTGCCTTCTGGCCTGGGTTCTCCCCCCTTTGTGGCACCTCTGCTTTTCTGAGAAAGGAAACCTACAAATGCTGCATCCTGTCCAGTCCTCCTTCAGCCTCCATCATACCTTTTCTTTATGTCTCTGATGGGAAGGGGTCTGAGCACTTGGTGCCGGGGTTGGGGGTGGGGTGGGGGGGGAGTGGGCCTAACCTGACTGGTTAGGGCCCCTGGCTCTCAGCCCTTCAACCCTATGTTTAGATTGGCTAGGAGAGAAGGCACAAGATGATTTTAGCTTTGAGAAACTTTGAGGGCAGGCCTGAAATGGGATGGAGGTTATAGGGTGTAACTTATGATTACGGTTTTACTCTTCTTTGCAGCCTGGGCCAAAAGTCCACAGTGAGTTCTTAAATTGGAAATTCTGTACGAAAGTAGACTTGAATTGTGAATCTTCAAGCACAAGGTGGAAACTTAGTTTGGAACTGGGTGTCTCAGTTTTACATTTCTCCTAAAAAGCAGTTTTTTTTGAGTCAGGGTCTTACTCTAGCTCAGACTGGCCTGGAACTCGGTTGCTTCTGCCTCACTCAGCCTCCCAAGTGCTGAGATTATAAGCATGCACAACCACATCTATTTAGAAAAGAAAGAAAAACTGCAGTTTTCTTTCTTTCTTCCTTCCTTCCTTCCTTCCTTTCTTTCTTTCTTTCTTTCTTTCTTTCTTTCTCTCTCTCTCTCTGTCTCTCTCTCTCTCTCTCTCTCTCTCTCTCTCTCTCTCTCTCTCTCTCTCTTTGCAAAACTACTCTTCGGTTTATGCATGAAGGAGATCCAGCTCTTTGTTTCTTTCTTTCTTCCTTCCTTTTCTCTTCTTTTCTTTTTCTGGTGCTGGGAATTGAACTCAGCCTTGCACAAGCACTCTACCACTGAGCTACACCTCCAGTTCCAAGCACTTTTAATAAAAGGGCATTGTGGTATAAGGTATTGAAAATGTCCCAGATTTAGGTCTAGGGAGGAACCTTTTCTTTGTAGCACTGACAGCCAGAAGGAGCTAAAAAGCCCTTGAAAACTCCAAGGTGTGTGTGTTTGTGCTAAAGTTACTGCACTTTTATGGAAGACCAGCCTCGTCCTTATGTACCTTTACTTTCTAGACCTGCCATGCACTTGAAGTGGGGATAGGGACCTGCAAGAGATGGCAGGGCAGTGACAGCTGATAGCAGACAAGAAACAGATTTTAAGAAGCAGGCAAAACAGAAACTCAAAACTGTAGCAGACCAGAGACCAGCTAGACTAACTTCTGTAGACCTTGACCATATGTTAGATTCATAGGAGTAATCCTGATTCGGCAAGACATTTAGATGTGCTTAGGATTCATCCCTTTGTAAAGCAAATGCATGCATGATCTCTATGGGCCGGACCCTGAGTGCTGGGGACACAGCAGTACAAATGCTTATTCTAGTGGAAGGGACAGACACTAAAAAGAGAGTTTCAGCTAGTGATGGACACTGTGGAGAAAGTAGAACAGTGTAAGAGCAAGTCAGGATGGTGTCTTAGGTGTATTAGGTGGTTGGGGAAGGCTTGGGACACAGTGGCATTTGTGTCCCTTGGATCTGATAGTGAAAATCTGGTTGAGTGAATATTGCTGATGCATATGCAAGGCGAAATGAAGAGTTATGAGTCCTAAGGCCAGAGCCACTTGGAAAGGAACCTCGTGAGGCCAGTAAAAGAAAGGGACTGGGCCTGATAGTGTCCCGTCTCATGGAATTTTATTCTAAGTGAATGAAAAAACCACTTGAGAGTTTATGCAGGAAAAGGAGGTGGGTTGTTGGGGTTCTAAGTATAAAACATAACAGCAAAGTTATTTGTGTTCTAGGAAACTTCACTTTAAAATAGAATGATTCCTCTATAAAGAAATTCATTATGCTATTACCAAGAAGTGTGGGAATCTCTGATTACTTGTGTCATGAGTTACTAATTGCAACTCATATTTTCTTGGTATTTTTCTGATACACAGAGGTTGAATGTTCAGTAATTCAGTCTTTACCTTTCTGACTTTAGATTCCCTCAAGTTCAGAAAGTTATTACCCTGGGGGGTTTCTAAAAATGACACTTTTTTTCTGAGTTCCTCCACACAGCACATTGTCTTGGTACCACATGTTGAATAAGCACTCATTTCCCTGCCAGTGTGAAATTCAGTCTTCATCATATTCGCAATTCTTCGCTATGTTTTTCGACTTCCTATTTTGTTCCATTGATCTTTCTGTCTGTTCCTGTACCAGTACCACCCATTGAAATTATTAGAAGTTGGATAATATTTTAATATCCTGTAGACGAGATCCCCTTTGTCATTTGTTTCAAATATTTCTTGGCTACACTTAATCTGTTCTTGCTGAGAGAGTTTGATGAGATTTAGATTTTCTTTTGGTCAAAGTTTTGACTTAAAAAAGTAAAAGCATTAAGCTTTTTAATCCTTTTTTGGTTTTATTTTGATTTTTTTTTTTTTTTTTTTTTGAGACAGGATCTTGCTGTGTAGCCTAGGCTGGCCTTGAATTCATGATCCTCCTGCCTCAGGCTCCTGATTGTTGTTATTACAGGTGTATACCACCATGCCTGGTTTTGGAGTCCATTTTAATGGCCAGAACACTGAGCTAATCCAGTTCCTGTTGATTGTCTTGGTTCTTCCCTCCCCTGGACTGAAGACGGGGAGCAGTTTTGTTCTGTCTTTACCTTCTCAGAAGAAAGATGGTTGGGTCCCCTTGTCCTGGAGTGATAGAGGGCACTGATAGAGACATTCCTGGTCTGCAGGGGACTCTGGGAAGGAAGGGTGAGAAGCACTGGATGTTGATACAGGAATTTTGCTTGCAGATTCTGTTTTATCAGTTAATGGCCTCTTCCTAATACTTGAATGAAGACAGACTATTCCTTTTACCAGCCTTAATTAGCTCTCCTCCCTGACAGATGTTAGCGTCATTTCCTTATTTCTAGACCCAAGTAAGCCATGTTTATCTTGAAGCGGTTCAGCGCAGTACTTGCTTTCTTATGTGCAATTCAGTTTGGCAAACATTTATTTAGAAGGCTTTTACCTATGAAATCCAAATAATCAACCTATAAGTGTACTTTTGGAGCACAACTTGTTTCAGTTTCTGAATTTCTTATAGAAATGACTTGTG